TTATGGTTTGTGCGGCTCGTCTCTGCGGTGAGCCAATATTCTCCCAAACTGAACAGGGCAGCATGGCGCTCTACGGCATGCATCCAACACTACACCATAGTAGAAGTAGAAATTACTGTTTACAACATGGTATTCCAGCATTTTTTAACAGCGTTCTCGTCTTTTCCGACAGTGCGAGCTATTTCTCTCCAAGAATTATTAACAACATGTTGATCACGGTGATCTCTGAGAGCTGAATCATACAAATGTCTGTCTTTACGAACCTCTGCCGTGCCGGTCCGCCATGTTTTTCCGCGTCCGACCGTCCGCGTGGTTAGAAATTTTCCGAGGTGCGCGTTGCAGAAATCTTGGGCCATGCGGAGACGCGGTAGAGGGGCGTGGTTGTTAAAATGACGCAAAATGACGCAACTTTTCCGCGCGGAGCCGTGCGGACCTCGCGGACGCGTCAAGCATAAACCAACCTTTACACATATTTATGACAGAAGTCACAAGGGTTTTGGTTTTAATTAGCATCACAGAAGACAAACAACAGCTCAGCTGTGACGAGGTCACTGCCTTCACAGCACACAGGAGACTCCGAAGCAGGTTAAAGATGTGGAAGGTTGGGAAAACTTGACTTTCCTTTAACCAAGTAGCTGGGATCTGTAACTATGAATGTGGAGGTCAAGGGAAGACATAATGAGAGACTTTCTTTCATGACAATAAATATAAAGTAATTTTTTCTAGTTATCATTAGATATAAGAGCTAGTTTTCTCAAGATGCATCAATTTTCTTTTGGTTATTCAAGAATGGGTTGTAGAGGAAGAAGGCCCAGCTGTCCTCTCCTCAGAGACATTCTCCAGCATTTCCTTGGGATCCCGAGGCTTTCAGGATACGTAACTCCTCTGCACCTTCTAGGTCTCCTCCCTGAAACTCTCCAGAAGGACGTGACCAGGTACTCCCTCCTCAGCTGACTCCTCTTGATCTACTCAGAGCTTCCCCCACTCTGATGGAGCTCCTCATCTTATCTCAGAGGCTGAGATAAGTTGTCTCAAAATGGTGTCAAGAGTTCTCATTCCATTGCGTGAGCCACAGGGCCTTGCTCTCGTGTCACGTAAACACTTCCAACCACTCTCCTCCCTTTAATGATACAAAGTCTTCTCGAGTCTCGAACCCTTGTCCGTTTTGTTGAGAAGTGTGAGCCCACTGTGGGAGGAGATGAAGTCGAGAGACAATTGCAACATTTTGAGACTAAATGGTAACAAGAGAATGTGTTTGTGAAAACATTTGCTTTGGGATGAAACAGCCATGCTTCACTCACAGAGTTTATGTACAAATTCAGTCTGAGTCCAGCTGAACGGTTTCTGTTTTCTCACGGTTTCGTGTCACCAAAAGGTCTTGCATGCGAAGATCTTTCGGGGCCTGCTGCCCCGGTGCCCCTTTTAGGTCCTTCCTCCAATCGTGACTCTCAGGGTATCTGCAGGTTTAAGGGAGCCAAATTTAAGACTTTTTAAGACCCTTTTTTAAGGCCACTTTGACCAAATTTAAGCAATTTTTTAAAAATGTCATTTAAGCTATAATTTCCAGCTATTGCCTGAAACCGGTGCTAACCACGTCGCGAACGTGGGATTAGCCATCCAGTTACCATTAAACTTGCACTTCCCCATGATGCAAGCTCCCGCTAGCTTAACCAGCTAAAGTGCTCATCTAAAGATAGCCCCCTTTCACAACCAACTGAATGTGTACGGTTCCACTTATGCAAATATGACACACATAAAATGCTTAACACTAACTAGAAATTCACGAAAATTTTATAGAAATAAAATAATCTTGTTTATTGGGTCTTTGGTAATTTAAGACCTTTGGAAACTGTATTTAAGGATTATTTGTCATTTTTAAGGATTTTTAAGGCCTTAAATGTGGAAAAGCTAATTTAAGACGTTTTAAGGCTTTTTAAGGACCCGCGGATACCCTGGACTCTGGATCGCCCCCTGTAAGGACACTTGGGGCATGTTGTAGCTAACGAGGCACCTTGTGCCACTGAGCGTAATCTCAGGACAGTGTCCCTTTAATTCTGTTATCTTGAATGCGTCAGAGCGCCACGGCTCTGTTTTCTGTGGATCTCTGAGTGATTAATCAAATCGGCAGCAGCAATGTCTCACTAATTAATTACATCAGACCCAGCCTTTCCTCTTGAAATAATACCTTGTTAATTTGGCAGTGGAGAACCGATCCCTCACTGATGAGACCTTCTCCTTGTTCACAGCAGCTCATACGTAAGGTGCAGACCGTAAAGTAAAACACTAAAAGTTAACCGCTTCATCTAGAAGCGTTTAGTTTCATACAACAGAAACATTTGAGAAGTGGAATTTTCGTGGATATTTTATTCACCACATTTATTTAGGAAATGACGGTTAAACTTTTAAATATATAAATATAAATCCAAATGTAGAACTAATCCCATATCCTATAAATACAATGCCATTTTTATAAATCATTTTTATGTTTTAGCAGTCTAGAATTTTAAATCTTTGACTATTTTGTCTTGTTGTTGACTCTTCATCAGCGTTTACTCTCTTTTTTGATTCTGCTATTGCTGTAAAACCAAAACTTCCCCACTGAGGGACTATAAAGGGGGTTACTTTTCTATTCTATTCTATTCTATTGTAAATACGCAACATAATACACATCTAGAGACTGAGATATAACTAGAAATGTGTTGGTTTTAAACTAAATATTTACCTAACATGAAAAGTCAGATTGCTGCAGCAGATTACCAAACAAAAAATACTTAGTTGTGATTTTGTTCCACCACTGATTATTCATCAATGTTCTAAGTTCTCCGCGCACACTGATATTTACACAGTGAGTTTTAAAATAATAAACCTGATTTTTTTTTCTGACTAATTATTTCGTTTGAGGTGGTTTAAAAGCTCCTCGGCGGCAAGGCTCCGGGGGTGGCTGAGATCCACCCAGAGTTCCTTAAGGCTCTGGATGTTGTCGGGCTGTGGTGGTTGAAGTAGGTCTGGAATATTGTGTAGACTTCAGGGGCAGTTCCACTGGATTGGTGGGCTGGAGTGGTGGTCCCCCTATTTAAAAAGAGGGACAGCAGGATGTGTTCCAACCACACTCAAGAGCCTCCTTGGTAAGGTCTATTCAGAGGTTCTGGAGAGGTGGGTCGAACCTCAGATTCAGGAGGACCAGTGTGGTTTTTGTCCTGGCTGTGGAACACTGGACCAGCTCTATACCCTTAGGGGATCCAAGAGGGTGTGTAGGAGTTCACCCAACCAGTCTACATGTGTTTTGTGGTCATGGAGAAGCGTCCCTGCATGGGGGGGGGGGGGGGGGGGGGCTGTTGGGGGCACCAGGCCCTCTGATAGTGGTTGTTGCCGGCAGTAAGTCAAGCTAGTTTCCGGTGAGAGTTGGACTCCGCCAAGGCTGACCCCTATCATAACTTTTATGGACAGGATTTCTAGGTGCAGCCAAGGTGTTGAGAAGATCTGTTTTGTTGGCCTAACGATTGAGTCTCTCATGAGAACATGATCTCCCCCTCTCGCTGGAACAGTTCACAGCTGAGTGTGAAGCATCTGGGATGAGAATCAGCTTCTCCAAATCCGAGACCATAGTCTTGACTGGGAAAAGGGTAGAATGCCTTCTCCGGGTCAGGGATGAGGTCCTGCCCCACGTGGAGGAGTTTAAGTATGTCTGAGGGAAAGATGGGATGTGAGGTTGACAGGCTGATTGGTGCTGCGTCTGCAGTGATGCAGGCGTTGGACCCATCTGTCGTGGTGAAGAGAGAGCTGAGCCGGAATATGAAGATCTCGATTTACTGATCAATCTACGTCCCAACCCTCACCTATGGTCACAAGCTTTGGGTAGTGACCGAAAGAAGGAGATCACAGATGCAAGCGGTCAAAGTGAGTTTTCTCTGGGCTCTGCTTTAGAAATAGGGTGAGAAGCTTGGTTTTCCAGGAGGGGCTCATCCGGGATGTGCTGCTCCTCCACATCGAGAGGAACCAGTTGAGGTGGCTCTGGCATCTGGTGAGGATGCCTCCTCGACGCCTCCCTAAAGGTTTTCTGGGGACGCCCAACTAGGAGAAGACCGAAGTGAAGACCCGGGACATGCTGGGAGGTCTATGTCTCTCACCTGGCCAAGGAACGCCTTGGGATTCCACCGGAGGAGCTGGCCCAAGTGGCTGGGGAGAGGGAAGTCTGGGCCTTTCTGTTTGGGCCACTGCCCCTGCGACCCGACCCCAGATAAGTGGAAGAGAATGGATAGATGGATATTTCATTTGAAATGACCACATTTTTTTATTTAGATTTCAACATTTGGATGTGGGATCTCAGACAAATGTTTCAGTCCTACTTTATAGGCTGCCTCTACTTAAATCTACATGGTGTATTTACTTACATTTCATTTAAATTGTTTAGATTATTATTAAATGTGGTTCAGCATATTTAGATTTAATGTTCGGTATTTTAAATGGACTCTACGTGTTTAGGTTGATATTTGTGTATTTCTCACTATTTAGATTTACATAGTAAGACTTTAAGGTTTAAATATCAATAATTTTGTTTTGGAAATTTTCATTTACCTTTCTTAAGACCTGATCCTAATTTAGGATTGATCCCATATTTAGTTTGGATTCTACGTATTTACATGAAACTTTATTTAAATGTTTTCTAAATAATTTCTTTAAAATTTCTGATTTTCAGGATATTTAAAAATTGTATTTTTATATTTTATAAATACATTAATAAATTAATTTATTAATAAATATATTTTAAATATTTAGATTGAGCTTTCTTTGATTTGTTTTAAGATATTTAGATTTAAATTTACATGTTTGTATTTGCTTCCAAAGACTGACATTTTCCCGTATCTGGATCTAAATCCCAATTGCTTCCCAACCCGCACCCATACCCGGGCTGTGCTGTGTTGATGACATCAGAGGGATCCCGACGACCCTGCAGCTTCTCTGATGCAGCAGCTCAGCTGACAGATTTACAGATATGATCAACACCCTGAAATGTTCCAGCTGCGTGAACAATGAGGATTATGTCACCTTGTTGGCATTCCTCCGCCTGTGTTTATTTAGATTCGCTGGCTGAAAGGGATGTTTCTGCAGGAAATACACGAGCCCTGTTTATCTTTTTTCTCTCCTCCTGCACGCGCACGGACGTGTGCGCGTCTTCCTCCCCCTTTCTGCCTCCCCGCATCTGACAGTGTCCCTCCCTCTTTCTCTCTTTCCTCCCTCCCTCCTTCATTAGGCGTTACACGGGCAAAAAAACCGACACACTCCTTCTCCTTCTGACCGGGAATACGCGCGGAGCGGCGGCCGGAGCAGGACGGACCTCCCCGGCGCGGTGCGCATCCTCCATGGTCCTCCTCTGGATGACAGGAGGGTATGTTGACTGTCTTCTCCCTTCCAGCTGCTCATAACCACGGTGCTGTTTCCACTCAACGCTTCTTTCCTTTTATGTTGCCTCCATTAAAACGCGCATTGTCACAGTCACGCTGTTCTTAGGTGGATGAATGTGTTGGAGCTGATGGCGGAAAGCTGCTCCACACGCCGGATCACGGACTTTGCCCGCGCGCCTGGCGCTCCGCGCCTGGGGATGAATACATTTTTTTATGGGAATGAAGGAAGCAGGAGCAAGTTGTTGCGTCGTTTGGTGCCCAGTGGCCCAGTCAGCGTGCAGACCACATTACATTCCTCTCCTCTTGGCTGAAAACAGCCACTTTAACGCTCCTAAATCCAGCATAACCTTCATTCTGAGTTTTCTCTGTTGAAGAGCTGCAGGAGTCAGCTGCTCAGTTTATGGCCCAGCCTGTCAGGCCAATCTGGATCTGCTATTGGACTAGTCAAACACACCCAGTCCTGATAATGCAGCAGCAGCCTGACTAGTGTTTGCTGTTACACCCATCGTCAGCAGCAGCGTGATGTTTTCTTGTGTGACAAAGAGACTTCAGCCCAGCTCCGAGTGAGTGGGCCCGTCAGCCATGGTGCCAAAGGCTGACAAAAGTCTGCAGAGGTGTTGCAACAGTTTTCACTTGCTTGCTGAGGCAAATCCATGTATGCAAATAACTTGTTGTTGGCTCTCCTGCCAGTTTTAATCCTGCACTCAATTGGAAAACATGCACCAGAGTTCTGCTGCGGTGCATCATTTCCATACGTGTCTGGGATCCTGACGTCAGTTTTTCCCATTAAGCTGGTGGAGGTCCGTTTGTATCCAGACCTTGGTAGTCCTATTTTACTCCAGTGAAGACCTCTTTATTCTCGTTCAACGAGCTTCATTAATGCAAACCTAAAAGTGCAGCAGTTAAGTTTTTCACAGTAGAGAGAACTTTGTTAATGAAAGTTAGTTGCAGGTGACACCCACTTTCCTCTGGCGTGGGCTTTCGTAGAGGATCTGCTGCTCTGGACCACAGATGTTTTGTGCATATTCCTGAAGCCGTGGGACGTTTAGATCAGAACTCATCTCCCCACTAATGACTTTAGGTCATTTTTTTGTCTTTTGAGGATAAGGATTTTCATGAAATGAAGCTAAGTTGTGTGAGAGAGGAGGAAAAGACGCCATTTTTGTTGATAAAAGAGACAACCAAGAATAAACAGAGGAGAAAGTCAGAACAAACATCTTGGATGTGAACCTGGACATTAATAAATGTACCATCAGCCACCAGGAGGGGGGTGGGGGGGGGGGGGGTGGGGGGGAGCCAGGGGTTTGTCAACTAGCATGTAAAAATGAAGCTTTTAACACAGTTTAACATGTTCCACACGTTGATGACAGCAGTAGCTCAGGAGGTGGAGCGGGTTGTCCAGTAATCGGAAGGTTGCAGGTTTGACCAGAGAATGCTGCTGTAGTGTCCTTGGGCAAGACACTTAACCTGCCTTGCCTGCTGGTGGTGGTCAGAGGGACCGGTGGCGCCTGTGTTCAGCAGCCTCTGTCAGGGCACCCCAGAGCAGCTGTGGCTACATCGTAGCTCATCACCACCAGCGTGTGAATGGGTGAATGACTGATTGTGTTGTAAAGTGCCTTGGGGGGTTGTAGAACCCTAAGAAGGCGCTATACAAATACAGGCCATTTACCAATTATTGGTGTTTGAATTGATCAGAAGAGTCATCTTTTGATGTATTGTTTCTGAATCCACTACGAGGGTTACCTTGGATTTTTTACGCTGAGTTACTGATCATGTTTTCTGAACATAGCAACATTATGGTTGAATCGGGTCATGTTATTACGATGCTTTGTAAAAATGCCTGCGTATATACTGTTGCTGGAATAGCCTTTCCCTCTGAGAGGGCTCCAGAGGGGGTAACACCCCTCTGGATCTGACAAGCCCCATTTCCAGATGACGTAGTTCACTGTGGACATGAGTCTCAGAAGTGAAACTAAAACCTTGTTTCATGAAAAGTTGCAAGGTGCATGTCAATCAGTCCCTTCTCCACGTTCCAAGCAGGAAGTTGGCAGCTTGGCTACATGCCGAGCTTCAGTGAAGACGTTCAAGAGCAGCGACTTCTAGAAGAAATATGTAGATCAATAACTCATTTAAGTTTGTTTCTACAACATCAGGACACTCTTATCTGGGCTCTTTCCTGGTTAAATAAAAATAAAACCATCATTGTCAGACAAACAGTATAAGGTAACACTTTACATGAAGGGTCTCTTTATAATAGGGATGTAAGGAAATATCGATATGGCAATATATCGTGATATTTTTCCCTGCAGTTATTACATCGATATTCAAAAGCCGTGTATCTAATTCCTGAAAGAATTCACATGCAAACATTTGTGTATTTTCTTTTCGTTTTGCGCAATTCAATCGCCACTCGCCAGTTGGCAGCAGTGTGCAACGGGTTTTGTTTCCACCACTGAAATGTAAATCCCTCCATCATGGTTCAGATACCTCATGTTAAACATGTTACGTATCAGTTTGGACTGTTTATTGAACATTCTTTCAATAAATTCAGTAAAAAAAATTGCTTGTAACGTCTGAATGAATGTATCGCAATATATCGTGATATATCGTATCATCTCCCCTGTATCGTGATATGTATCGTATCGCCAGAATTTCAAAAATACACATCCCTACTTTATAATGTTACTTAGTGCATTACTAAGCATTAATAAACTATTTAATAACATGTTAACAACTGCTAACCATTATAAGTAATGCATTACTAACCAGACTAAATAGTTAACAATACAATGTTTATGAAGGAACCCTTTGTTTATTAATGCTTAGTAATGCACTAAGACATTAATAAAGGGATCCTCATTGTAAAGTGTTACCCAGTATAATGCCTAAAGCAGTGGTTCCCAAACTTATTTAGCCGCGCACCCCCTTCTATGTCCCGACCATGTCGACGCATCCCCCCCCCCCCCCGCCCCCACATTGGGGCATGGCTCTCTATATATATATATCAGATGTCAAGCTAAACAGACAGGGTTAAAAAAAATCCCCATCACTTTCATTTTTTAAACAGTAATTAATAAGCATTCGATACCATTACAATTTCCTTTGATTTCATTTTAAATATATATTTAGAGTGCCCAGGTAGCACATAAACAATGCAATTTAACGGTTTTCTTAAAGTAGGAACGTTTAACCTGTGCGGCCAGAGCGCTCTCCTTCTTTCTGCTCTGCGTAGACCTGAGCTGATCACCTACTTGTGCGTAATCAAATGTCAATAGGGGACAAGATATAGCCATGATGTTCACTTTTGCCTCAGACCGACTTATTGCTGTTTTATGGTGTGGCTGAATCTGCGATCCGCTGCCACGCTGACTGGAATAACAAATGCTGCAGTAACAGGACTTGTGGTCAGGTTCATGAGGAGTCACTGGCTGGAGCGGACCCGACTCATCCCAGAAGCTAATATCTTAATTTGACCTTGAATGAAAAATAACCTCTTAAAAGTTTTTATCACGGTGGAGGCAGCGTTCATTTCTGCCGTCAGTCTGACGGCGCGCCGGAGTTAAAGCAGCGTGCGCGCTTATTGAATATGTGTGTGTGCGCGCGCGGCACAGCCGCTCAAGTCACCGCGTCTCGCGCTATTTAAACCAATGTTGTAAAATGACTTCTGCCCAGCCCAGATGTGCTCACTTGTGCACCCGTGAGCCGTGGTTCCGCTGGAACGCGTCTGACCTCTGACAGACGCACTCTGAACTTCAGATCTTCAGCGCGCTGTCAATAGCCTGAATGGGAATCATTTCTTGTTATTTTGTTACATCCACAATGTTCTGTGTGTGAGGTTTACAACGTCAGAACACCTGCATGAGACAGGTGTTAATTACAATCTGCCAGAATGACTCGCCACCTTCAGATTTCTCCAACACCGTTAAAAATGATCAAATACGGAACATATTGGCGTGCGCAGGCCAGAGTGCTGAAGCTCGGCGCATTGTTATTATGAAGCTAGCGCACATGTGGAGGACACGCGCGCGCAAAAATATACTTGTTTTCAATTACATTTATTGGGCCCACTTACTTTTTCTTTGGCCCACCCACAAATGAGTTTCTACGCTAATGGTGACATATGACAGACTTCTCTGAGCTCCGCAGCCATTACACTTTTCACCTCGCGCACCCCCTAGCGGCAGCTCGCGCACCCCCAGGGGTGCGCGCACCACACTTTGGGAATCCCTGGCCTAAAGTAAAGCACAAGGATAAAAAGGCATAGGTGTGCTAAAGTGGAGAAGTTCTCCCTTAAACCACATGGCTTAAACATGTTCTTCACAAGGGCTAACTAGTGTCAACACGTGGTGTACATGTTATCTCGTGTTAGCGCATGTCAACAACCATATCCACATTATTCCTACGTCCCATCAGGCTTTGTGCGAAAGATGTAAGATGCCTGCATAAAGGGAGTTACAGTAGTCCAGTCTGGTGGTAATGAAGGTGCGGACAACAGTTTCCAGATGTTTACGTGAAAGAAACTGCTTAATCCTAGCTATTCTCCTGAGATGGAAATAGCAGGTTCTGCTTGTTCCATTGACCTGGGTGTCCAGTCACTGAGAAACTGCATGCATGCAGTTTGTTGTTTTGCTGCTAATACAGTAGCAGGTGCAGCTGCTAATACAGTAGCAGGTGCAGCTGCTGATACAGTAGCAGGTGCAGCTGCTAATACAGTAGCAGGTGCAGCTGCTAAGCAGTAGCAGGTGCAGCTGCTAATGCAGTAGCAGGTGCAGCTGCATATTTTTGCAATAAAAATGTTATGTTGTAATGGAATTCATGCATTAGTTTTTGTTTGCTTTGAACCCAGAGCAGACGTCACACTCCAGACGACATCAACACTGCATTCTTTAGGATTTGTTCATTCATCGTGAGTAATATCGATATCGCAATATTAAGCACTGTTATCGAATATCGCAGGTTTTCCTAATATCGTGCAGCCCTAAAT